CTTTGCCAGCAAGCTGGTTTTTACTGCATCCTTTTGCCCAGACATTGATGCATAAATAGCTTTAGATTTATATGATTAGCTTAATTTTTTTCTTCACACATAAACTCATTTTAATTTCTTCCTTCTAATTTAGAGGCGTAAATGTCATCTGCTCACATATTATTCATATTTCAAGCGTACCCTTGAACCTCACTTAATGTCTTGAACTCTTTTACTTTGGGTATGCATGTTATGAAAATAAAAACTCATAAAAGGACTACAATATCTATTATTAACTTCTAACTTTCAGTACTTTCAATGACTTCCTACCCCTATTGGGAGTCTAAGCAAATGTTCTCAGCTTCCCTTGACACAGTAATGAGGAATTCTCCCTATGTGTTCTCTCTTCCTCATGGCTTGCAAATTAAAGCTCTGTCTTTAGCTATAAGATGTGCAGCATATCTCTCTGAAAGATAAAGTTCATATCAGATTCAAGCTACCCAGCTGTTTCAGAGCTCTGCTTTTATGTCAGGTTTTTGGATTTGGTGAGTGGAAGCAGACTTGCATATGAAAATTCATATTAATTGTAACTTTTAGTGATACTCATTAGCAGAGGTATCATTCTTTATCTTACTGTCTGATTTACTATTCCAATTTTTTTTTAATATGAGGATGTGTCCAAATTCCTATTGCAAAGTCACTCAGAAAAATGGGAGGTTGCTTCAAACGAATGAAAGAACAGTTAATTTTTAAAGCTGGAAGTGAAACAATTACCCCCCTAAAGCTCCTGAGCACCCTTGCTGCTCCCTCACAGTGAAATGTCTTACATTCACAGGGTGGTTTTCCACTGGTGGCTTGTTCTGCTCTGAGGGAAATGAAATGTGAGATGTTAGAGGGACTGTCGTGGTTTAACCCCAACCAGCAGCCAAGCCCCAGCCAGCAGGATTGGAGAGAACTGGAAGGGTAAAACCTGGAAAACTCCTGGGTGGGGATACAGACAATTTAATAGGGAAAGCAAAAGCCATGCACACAAGCAAATTATAACAAACATTAACTCGCTGCTTCCAAAGGGCAGCACATTTAGCTCCAGATATCAGGACATTCAACTCTGATGACCTTGTGTTGCCTCAAGCTCCCTGACAAGTCCCCAGCCTTTTCCTGCCCTCCTTCCCATTGATACCTTCCCTCAGAACCTGGGGAGATGTAAATCAGTGAATAGTGCTGCAGAGGAGAAACAAGAAGACAGCCCTCAAAGCCCCTCTCATTTCCCTGGGACACCTTTAACCACAGATGACACCGTGTGGACATGGTGTTCTTTCCAAGGTCACAGCATCTCCAACACACCAGTGCCTCTGACATGCCAGTGCCAACACCACCCACTCGGATTTTGGGCTACATCACTGAAGAAAAGCTGGAACTGGGGACTTGTGTGTCACGTGCAGTATAGGCCAAAACACATCCTCTCATAAAATCCAAAATATTGCTGTCAAACTGCAGAGACTGTGATGTTCTGTGGGCTCTGACCCCGGCCTGGGAAACTCTGACCTGGGTTCAGCTTTGTGTTCTGCCAAATTCAGTGTGAAAACTCCTCAGAACAGAGCATGACTGCACCGAGTCTCAAAACAACTTCTTTTAACTCTGTTTTGGTTTTGCAGATTTTGAAAGGATTTTTACGAGCCCAAAGCAGGGCAGCAAGTTTCAAAACCACAGTGTTGCTGCAAGAAAAGGATTTTCTATCTTGCCATCGGTTCTGATTACGTGGCTTCTCTCAAAACAGGTGCCTTCCTTCTCAGAAGCTATGTTAGTGGCTAAAAGCATGGAAACTAATTTTCCCAAACAGGCACATCTATTGCTGAAAAACTCAGATTCACTTGCAGTAATTTCCACTTGATTCTAAATATCCCCTGCTGAATAAATAAGCAAAGGAGGCGTCTTCCATGCTAAAAGCTTTTCTGTATCTCCTTATTTACAGGGATATGGAATTAGTGTAACATTTGCCTTCGCAGAAATAAAAACTTGAGCTACAAGATTTGAAAGTTGCCTTGATTTTTCTCATTTTTATACGAAAAAAGTTCTTAGGACTCATTCTGTGAGTGTAACTCTCACTGTTAAGTGCAGCTGAGAGCACATTAGGAGGTTTCCCAGCGTATTTTGCTCTCTTTACCTGTTTCCACTGGGTCTTTTGAATCCACCTATTGCCTTCATAACTTCTAAAAATCCTTCCTTTGAAAGTTTGCTTAGGGTTTCCAATTTCTTTTAATAGACTAAAGTTCTTGGCTTTTGTTTGGTTTTGGGTTTTTTTTAATTACAGTTATGTCAGTGTGTGCAATCAGCGTACAAAAAGCCCTATAAACTTCTTTCTGTTTGCAATTTTTTGTCTGAGATGGTTGCTCCCAAAACTGTCGTGAACGACGTTGTATCTACAGCAGAATAATGTCAGCACAGTCTTTAGCAGAGTTAAAGCTGTTGTGGTTAAGCTGCAGACATACACATCTCAATCACACTTTCAGTGAAATGGGCTAAGCTTTCCTTTCTGTGGGAGCAGATAAAGAGTACTGTGCCTTTCCTTTGTTATTAAATCCCACCTAAAACTGTAAAATATTACATTGAAATAAGTTATATCTCTTCTTAAATCGTTAAAAAAAAAAAAATCTGTGTAAAAGGAACTGTCCTCCATGGACCTGGGAGTTTAGTGCTGGTATGACTCATTTATGTGGCCCATTCAAGGCAGATGTATCAAAAAAAAGTAGCTCCTTCTCTGTGATGTAGATACTTGAAAAAAATAATTTTAAAATAACTACGAGCTTTAATCCTTGAGGAAATTTCTTTTTACCATTATATTGTTTCAAGCATGTAGCCTTTTAACACAACTATTGCAGACCAAAGTGTTAAGGAAAGCTGTTGAACCCCCATCTGTCCTGTCTGCCCCACACTTTGAAAACGGACCATTTTTAAAGAAGTGACCATTGCCAGCCTGAGGCAGAGGGCAGCATTCACCACCTTATGGTGCACTGCAACTTCTGATGAACATCAGCTACTTTTTAACTCCTCTTTCTCCATACAGTCCCAATACATGTACTGAAAAATGGATTGCCTCATATGGCCTCTTGCAGAATTGTTTGATGAATAAATGACATTGCCATTAGCATTTAGTTATAAGTACATTTGAATTTTAAACTGGACATATGCTACTTCTCTTGAAACTAGCAGCTTTTTTGTGCAAAAACCATGTCCCAGACCCAGGCATGCCATGATGATGATGATAATAATAATAATAATAATAATAATAATAATAATAATAATAATAATAATAATAATAATAATAGGATTGAGGATGGCATCTCTATCTCAATTTGACTCATTAGATACAGACATTAAAGAAATTTCTTACATGAGTCTGCACAGTGATCAAAACTGATACAAGAACAGAGCTCCTATGTCTTAGCTGTGAGTTTGGTTTCATTCCTCCTTCACTACTCTGGGTATCAATTCCAAAATAAGCTTTTATTCATAGGTTTGGTTTTTGCTGCAAAGCTGTTGTTCGTTTTGTCTCTTTCAGTAACATTAAATATCTTGTATCTCAGCTTAAAATCAAATTTCTGTAGCCAATTTAGGCTGGAGAATTCCTTGAGTACTCAGTTATAGTTATTTGTAACTCGTTTCCCACTCTCCTCCTCCATAGTCTTACATATTCATTCCTCCTAATAAAATATTTTTGATCAGATCAGAAATATATGAAAGACTAGAAAATATTTCTTGGCTCCCAGACACATGCAAATCTCTTATTTAAGAGAGAGACATAGATAAGATAAACATGGGGGTTTTCTAAAAAAAAATAAAAAAGAGTAATGAAACACTTGTCTGCTTCATTTGGCAAGGAACATGTCTGGGGTTGTTATTAAATACCAGAAGTGAGCAGAGGAGAGAGTGAGAGAGGGAGGTGGATGGAAAGATTCTGTAGGGATGGGGATACTGTGCTCTCAGCTGTGACACCAAATCCTGAAGAGACTTCGCTGAATCCAGTGGAAACTCTGGATTTTCACGAGCTGGAAATCCAACATTCTCTGTGTTGATTTCCAAAGGATGTCTCCAGATTTGAATGAGGATAGCTGACAGTACAGCTCCATCAGGATGTCGCTGATGATGATGATGATGATGATGATGATGATGATTAGAGGGTTTTCACTGCGTTTTGTTCCACAGGGAGTGATGAGGGAGTTTTAAACGTGCGCTGGCGAAGATCACTTTCAAACCGTTTGCAGCTGAGCGTTGGCCATCACTTTGAAATTCAAGAGAAACCAAACATATTGCAGGAGATTTATTTCAATGGCAGATCGAAAACAATGGGGTCCCACGGCAAGCTGGGAGTCTGCTCCTTTTAAAGGAGCACATGCCACTTCAAGGGGAAAAAAGCATGAAAGGAAGCAGTGGTGTGCAAATCAAAATAAGCCCTTTGTCTTTCTCGCTGGATCCATGCTTGGGGAAGAATAGACTGTAGGGGAAGAATTCAGACCTGTCTTTATTCGGTCTCCAAAGGCAACTACTTTCTCTCTGGATGAGAAGGACATTTGGTTTTAATGGTGGTGGAAGCCTTCCTTAATTGTCATGATCAATACAGGCAGTTGGCAACAAGGTTCTCTTCAAATAGCTGATTGTTGAAGATAAGGGATTAATTAGTTTGGGTTTGGTGCTTTGGTTTTATTTATTTTATTACTGCCCTTCCACTGCTATATAGGATTCATCAGTTTTTCATCTGCTCTCAGCCACCAAACTGAACTTCTGGATTCATTCAGCCACCTTTTCTTTCCTCCCTGTCTGCAACACGATTCTGGCACTCCTCTAGGATCACTGATCAAGAAAGAGAAGTCTCCCTTAGCCTCCTTTTTGCTGGACAAATATAGATTAATTTCTGACCGAGGACATGATTGAATTTATCGTGTGTTACTTTTTTAACGCTTGTAACGTTTGTGTTTTAAACCCACAAATATTTTGAGCTTTTTTTGATTTCGTGCTTCCTGCAGGTGACAGCACTCCAGGGACAGCACCCCACCCGCAGCTGGGCACAATGAGACCTAATCTTGGCTGAGAGACCTGTAAGGGATTGGAGGTGCTGCTGTGGCTGTTTGGTTTTATCCTTTCCTGGGAGCGCTGCTGATCAAGTTGAGATGAAGGTAGGCCCCTCTAAACTTTTCATATGCGTTTATCTCTAAGTGAATAAGTGCTATCTTTGGAATTTTCACCGGTTATTCCAGGCAGTGCTGCCCGTCTGCCCTCGGGGCTCCCAGGCAGGCTCAGCACCCAGGCTCACACCCAGCACTGCAGCCACTTCAGCACTTCATTATATGTACGGAGACAACGATCCGCCTTGTACCCTTTACAAAAGAGCCACAAGGAAACACAAAGTGCCGCTGCCTTGCCAGCCAGAGGGACCTTTGCCAGCACCAGGTGGTGGGAGGCGTTGGGCGAGCGAGCGAGGTCACTCCTGGTGCTGCTTGTCTGTTTAAAAACGCTGCTTTTGAGAGAGAGGCCAGCAGCATTTGGTGTTTGGTGTCAAGGGACTGAAAGGGGTGCCACGTGAGGCTGAAAAGTTCCTAATGAACCATTTTCGGTGCTTCCCCTCCTATCTGGATGACTGTTCTTAGCTGGCTGCTGCGCTCCCGTGTCCAGGTTTTGCCAAGTGTGTGGTTATCTCCCTGCTTGCATCTGTTTGTTCTGTGCTCGCCTCCGTGGCTGGAAGGGTGCAACCAATTATCAGTGATGCCACTGGGATTTTTCTGTCTAGCTGAGCTAATTTCTCCTGGAGTTCTACCAGTGGTCTGATTTCATTACCTTGTTTCAAATCCGGTTTTAGTGGGAAGTGCAGAGGAATACGAACACGAAATTTATCCGGATGCATAAACATACACTGTGTTTGTTTTACATCAGCTGTGATATCTGTGCCCAGCTCCTTATTTCTAGTAATGATGGACATCCTCTAAGTCACTGGGCAGGAGCAACTGGGCAGCAAGTGAGTTTAGTGGCCTTGCAGACTTTCTGAAGCTTAGAGGCTTCATGCAAGTTACAAAAGTACCTGCTTTCCTTTGACTACAAATAACATCGTGCTGTAATTTCATCTTAAAGACTTTTGTGTTCACTCAATAGAAGAAAACCTGTCTTGGTATAAGTTTATTTGGAGGATCAAAGTATGTTACATAAGCTGATTTCGTGCTAGGTAGGTGTAGCTGAAATGAATGGCCAACATGTTTAAAGTGGTTGAAAATCCATGTCCTTTATAACCACTGACTGGTTTAAAAGGTTGGGGTGTTATGATTTCCACTTCTGTGTCCCTGGTTTGAATTTATTGGAGAATAATAGCAACACATTTGATGGCATATCTATAGTGGGACTCTGAAGTCGTGCTGCAAGGTGCTTAAGGTGTTTTAGAAAGGTATCATTTTAAAATAGAAAGGGAAGTAGTCAGTGCTCAGGGCTTTCCAAGGTTTTGTTGCAGGTTATGTGACAAAATCTCATCTTTTTTAACTAAGGAATAAAACATTATATGAAACAAGTATCTGCTTTCAGGAAAATGTGTCTATTATGTGCTTAAAGAGAGGTTTACTTTGAGCTGCATGGAAGATAGGCATGCAAATGGAGTATTTGCTTAGAAATTCTTGTGGTCATTGAAGAGATTTTACCTAATTGTTTTCTTTTAAAAGAAAAAAGTATGACAAAGATTTTAAATGGATGACTGGGATCCAAAGGACAGATAATGCAGACTCCAACTGAGTTTATAATAGTTCAATTCTGTAAGTGAAATATGTTCTCTATTTAGAAAAAGAATGAGAATATGAAAGTTGTTGTGTCAGTGATTCTTCAGGTTTTCATTCAATTGATCAGAGTGGAAGAAAAGATATTTCCATACATCTAGCTCCTTTTTTTTTTAAATTTCCAGTCTCAGCTCTTTGCATGCTCCATGTAGAGGCTGTATACAATTATGCCTTGCTAATAAAACAAGATAAAATAATATAATCCCATTGTATTGTCACAGAGATAAAGCGGATGGTAAGTTATTGTTTTAGTTGATCAGCAGGGTGGCCCAGTAAAATGAATTCCCATCTCTTGGCTTCGGCTTATCTTCTGATTCCTGAGAGACACAACAAAGAAAAACAATAATAATAATAATAGGAGTGGTATTTTTGCTCTCGTTTGATGTGAATATTGCAATAGTGGAGTCTCATGACAGAAAGGACAATAATTGTGTGTACTACCTGAACATCAATGGCATCATGTGCTGTAGTGTGACTGTTGAAATGTTGGACTTGTGTGGTAACAACTGTACAGGATAATAAAAACACATTCAGTATGTAAACACCACTAGTCTGGTTATAATTGGCACCACACGTAAAGGTCTCCCTTCCTAAATCAGGTCTGCTTAAGTACTAAACACAAATACCTGAGTTTCTTCTCTAAACAGCTCACATTTTTAATATTTTAGTTTCTGGAACGTGCCCTTCTAGCCTGTACCTGTCAATTATTGCAAACATTTCCGTCAAAGAGACAAAGGCTTTGGATCTCTACTGCAAAACTTCCTTTATATATCCAAGAAGAGCAGTCAAATCATCAAAATATTATGTTCTCAGAAATAAATAATAGGCAGCTTCTGCACTTCGTGTGTTGGACTTGTTAAGAGTGGTTGTCCTCTCTTGTTTTGAGCAACCTGAAAGCAAACACAGAGCTTCTGCTTTGCATGAAAGCAGTGCCCTGCTTCCAGCCAGGGGTTCAGCTCAGGCCATAGTGGTTAATTTTTTAAAGAACTTTTGTTAAAATATTCTCAGCTCGTAACCCATATTAGGGAATTAAGAGAGGCTGTTCTCCATACACTCCTTGTCCCTAAGGTGCTGTGAAAGAAAAGTGAATGTCTCAGGTACGGAATGCATTCACCCAGCTCTTCCTAGCCCGGCAGAGGCAGATTGCTGCCCAAATCCCTGTGCAAAACCCCTCAGAGCCACGCTCAGGAGGCCCTGAGTGCCCCTGCTGCAGCCTCACAACAGGGCTCTGCACCTTCATTAGCAATTCTGATTAAACACCCTGAATTTTGTGGTGGATATCACAAGACAGGGTCGTTGGGAGAACTTGCACTGCACATCACGGTGGTGTCCTTCAAAGTCTTCACTTTGGACCTGCCTCTTCCCCTCCTGCCACGTCTCGGTGAGCAGCGTGGTGGGGCTGTCCCCGGGAAGGGCTTCAGAGCTCAGCCGAGCTGCAGTTCTGTAGGGGCGAGTTCTTGTGCCCTTCGGAGGCCACTGAGAAGCAGGAAAAGCTGTAGCCCCGAGCCTGTAACAGATGCAAATTGTGCAGATGAAGGAGAGGGAGCTCTAACAGCCGTTGAACGCAATCTGTGAACGCCACTGTTTCATTTATAGTGATGCTACCTGGGCATTTGCACTTAAAAGGAACAATAAAGAGGTGTCAGAACAATCGCGAGGCTGCAGAATTTAAGCTGCGGCAAAGATGTTCTGAGCCGTGTGAAATGTTGCCTGCCAAAGATCCGCTTTTTCCGTTGGTTTTTGTTATTACTGAAGGCTGTTCTAGTTCTCCTTGTTTCGTGACACCGACTGGTTCGTTTGCCTTCAAAGACTGAAGATGCAAAGAGGCAGGGAAACGAATTAAGTCAAAACTGCGCGAAGAATGTCATGGCTGCTCCTTATTTGCCTGTTTAGTTTTGAAGTAGCTTTTCTGTACAACTGGATGGCTGGTTCAGTCCCTCGCCAGCCCCTAGCAGGGAGCAGCGGAGTTGCTGTAATATTTCGGTATTATTCTCACTTTCGGGACAAAGGGCCAATGCTCAGTTGAGGCAGCCTTTGGAGGCTGCACATCCCGCGCTGAGGATCTGAACTGCTCTTGCCTTTCAGGATTTTTATTTGGAGTAAGAGAACCGGTTTTGCATAGGTGAGAAACCGCACGCTGGAAAAAAAAACTAAACAAAAATCTGGTGTCTGTCAAACAGACAGTTACTGATTAACCAAGAATAGCGGGCTTGCATTCAGTGTCCTGTTAAAAGCACAATAACCCGTGATTGTGTGTATGGCTCGCTCCTTATCAGCTGCAAACGTGAAAGTTTTGTGTGCCCGGGAGAAACAAGGAAACAGAGGCGTCTGTTGTATCACAATAGGTGCGTTCAAAGTGTCCTAATCCTACTCAGTATAAGCAAATGCCCCTTGAAAGGAAACGTGGAGTTTAAAAAAAAGGAATATATGCAGTTTGGTAAAAAAAAAAAAAATAAAAAAAAAAAATAACCAAACAACAAAAAAAACCCCCCGAAACAAACAAAAAAAAACCCAAAAAACTGGAGTAAAGCTGTATTAATTTTAAGGTAAGATTGGTTTCGTAGCTACAGCAGCATAAAATACATTAGAGGATCTCTTGTCATTCTGGACCTTCTAGACTTCCTATAGGATACTACTATCTGATTTTTATTAATATCATTCATTTGAATTCCATTAGTGTTCAGAGGCCCTGGTCGAGACTCAGCCACAGTTATCTCGCTGCATCCCAAAGAGTTCACAGTTTAAATAGACAGGATGGGCAATTAGCAGGCAAATGTCCCACAACTAAAGAAAAACCAAATTACCTAATGCCTTGTCATATCTTAATGTCAGCTGGTTTGTTTTTTTACGTACCTCAGTAAAATGAGTAGTCTGCAAAATGAGAACATGTTGTTCTCATATTTCAGAAAAGTTCTAGCAAAACTAATGACAGTAAAATGCTCCAAAGCCTCCTAATTAATACAGTAAAGGTTCGGAATTATGATGATTTTCATATAATAAGGATTTGAACTGTGTGAGTTTGGAATCTGTAGCTTTTAGTGAGGAATGTATATCCCAGGGAAATACAGGGGGGGCAGCAGGACTGTTTGTTTTAATAGTTCTCTGTGTGTGTCTGGACATGTGAGTGAACAAGAGATCAGCAGGGCAAAACGTGCCATAAATGCTGTAAAGTCTCATACAATTGTGTCAGGCAGTAAACCCGAATGAACTTGCAAAGTCATGCACTAGTTCAGTTTTGGAAAGGAAAACCTGGCTTTGAAGCCAACCAAATCAATCCCGAGTTCAAATTAAATTTGGAGTATCCTGTGAAGCTCCAATACACAACCCCAGTAAAAATCAGCACTTAAGGTGCGGGCAAATAATGT